GTCATAATTTATATATATATATTCATATGCTTGCTAGTTATAATTTATATATATATATATTTAAATGTATACTAGTTCTAATTTATATATATATTTATATACTTAATAGCTCTAATTTATATATATATATATATATATTCATATGCTTAATAGTTCAAATTTATATATATATTTTTTCATATGCTTAATAGTTCAAATTTATATATATATATGTTTACTAGATATAATTTATATATATATATATTCATATGCTTGCTAGTTATAATTTATATATATATATATATATATTTAAATGTAAACTATTTCTAATTTATATATATATATTTATATACTTACTAGTTCTAATTTATATATATATATATATATGTTTACTAGTTCTAATTTATATATATATATATATATATATTCATATGCTTAATAGTTCTAATTTATATATATATATATTCATATGCTTGCTAGTTATAATTTATATATATATATATATATATTTAAATGTATACTAGTTTTAATTTATATATATATATATTTATATACTTACTAGTTCTAATTTATATATATATATATATGTTTAGTATTTCTAATTTATATATATAAACTTAATCAAAAGTCCTCTCAGCATTACGCTCTCAAATAGATGGCTTACAAAATAGGGGCATTAATAATTGAAGGCAGTGTACAGAAGTTGCGCTCTGTTTGCATCTTGATAGACTCTCAAAATGACATAATTAGTCATAGAAAGTGAGTCTGCTTGTGGCTGGCCACGTTCCTTGGTTTGGAATATTGCAGTTATTTTGGAAATTACGGTTTCTAGCCTTGAAGATGCCTAGTCCATGTGGGAACAGTCCAAAAGTCGAGGCGATCGGCCCTCGGTTTCTGGTGAAATCATTTCATCAATCTCTCCAAGACAACTTTTTCCTCGAACTGAAAAGTTGCGTGACATCACTGATTTGTGTGTCGACATGCATCCGGGCTCGACTGGTGCCTGATTGGGTTGATGGCGAGTCATCTGAAGATGAAGTTGCCTTCATTTGCATCCAAACCGCTTTTTGTTGTTCATTTGAGAAGGAGGTCTGTTCTTCCTTCTGTCCTAAGCAGACTGGGCATCATTTTGTGGGCTAAGTCCATCATAAGACAACTTCGACAGAATTTTGCACACATCAACAAGTACTTAGTGTGAAAGGCTCCTTTAACAATTCCATGCTATGTGACTTTTCGCTTTTGAAGGAACAATCGGTTTGAGGGGTATTTCCTGCATACGCTTGACCGGAATCCGGAACTGTCATTGTTGGATTGTACGCCGACGACTTTTTCACACCCTCCAACAGTCCACGAGACACCAATTGACGAATCCCTTCAGGCCAACAATGGCTACGAGACAAAATGTCGACTTTTCTTGGCTACCGGACGACCGAGGCCTGTGATTGTCGCTGCTGTTGGCGTTGAAGTCGGGCGTGTTCTGTGGCCTGCTCTGGCCTCCTGCTGCTCCTAACAACCACAAGAAGCCGCGTTCATTGGGCTCCCATTCCTTAGGGACGACTGTCCGAGACGCGGGTTCCAAGTGACTTCGGTCGGGTGGAACCACGTCTCGAGAGGAGGCGAGGAGAGGCCAAGCGCAGTCCATCCCTCCACCTCGTCCCCGCTAGCAACACAACTTGCATTGCAGACCGTCGGTCTGATTGGCGCCCACGGACCTGCAGACCGCGTCGACGACAAGTGACCGCAACCGTCTGGCACACCGTCCAGTGCCGTCGACTCGGCCGAAGCCTTGGCAATGGTAGGTCTTGGAAGGACTGCGTCGCAGTGGCGAGAACAACTGTCCGAACTGCGCCGTCCGGCGAACTGAGATGGCTGCCTTACCAACAGCTTGTCAGTTGGTTTTTGGTAAATCAACTTGCACTAAAGCTAGATCGACGGACAGGTTTTACACCATTTTTCCCTTCTAAGTAGGTCTTCAAGACAAACAATACATCACTTTATAAATTAATTGTAGGCGTACTATGTGGATTTGAATGGAAACAGAAGGTCTACTCATAGGATTGTGGAAAAATCCGGCTACAAGTCGTGGATAGAGTTCGGCTCGTAGATGAATAGATGAACAGAAGAGGTGAATAGATGATGAATAAAGGATGAATAGATTGATAAACATAAAGGGCCGGATAGATGGATGAAGTGATAGAGTTGCAGCGAAGAAAAAAGCAATGTGTACTGCGTGTATGGATGTGTATGTGGACGTGTGTTGGCGTGTGTATACCGGAGAGAATTGGATTGTGGGTAGGCAGAATGTGATGACAAATCCTGCTGGCAAAGAGGACACTCAAGTGGAACATCAACAAGTGCAGGTTAACTTCTGGTTCCACTTCGGATAAATTAATAGAGTCAGCTCGGTTAACAAGAGCATTCGACCTGATATGTTCTTAAGGTCGAATCTGTACCCAAGGCAGGGCAAGCTGATAGATTCCTAGTTTGGATGTAAATAGTTTTTGAGGCAATCAGTAATTCGTGAATAAGAACTTGTACGAAGAAAAGGTGGGCTTCGAGGAATCTCTTGATTCATAATTGTTGAGCTTACTTACATTTCGAGTGGAAGTGTTGCGTGAAGAGATTCGAAGTCGGTTCCACCAGAAGACGACGGCGGATTCCTCTTGACCAGCTGTCGATTGGCT